GCTGGATTTTGCAAATCTCATGAAATCTCAGGATTTTTAGAACTTTCAATATAATACAGCTTACATTTTAAAAGATCTCTTAATAAAAAGTTAAACAAACTAAAAATAATTTTCCTTTGGTAATAATTCCACAATTAAAATCAAAACTTATTTATCCAAGTAGGTACTTAAACAGTTTTATCATACTTAATATGTGAAGATACCTTTTTAAGTAAGGTTTTCTTCTCAAACTGTAAAACAATCTCAGGATTTTTAAATGGAAATCAGGCCTCTTCTCCGGACTTTTAATTTTTTCATCTGGTAACCCTAGTCTCGGGGGCCCTTAAAATACCTAAGAAGTTTACAGAAAATTATGGGAGACGTCACCTTCGGGTCTGCCGGTGACTCGTCAAACTCTTCCTGTTGTGCCTAGAGGAACACGTGCAGATCTTAAAGCCTGCTAAGAGTCTCCTTTATGGAGCTCTGTAGAATCAATCATCATATGAACAAACATAAGAGCCCATTTAGGAAAAGGTAATACGCATTTCGCGAGTTTTTTATTATGACTAGGTGATGGGAAAATACCTAAAGAAGTAGTTTCAAGTCCTAATGATTTGATCCTTAATGTTTATCCAGCAATTGAGAATATTTCTCAAAAAGATTATTTATACACATGGATATGCGAGAGTGCAATAGTTTCGCCAAGAAATTTATGTTAATCAAATTATTAATAATTTTCAAATATTAGAAAGAATGCCAGGTAATCGAAAAATACCGTATTAGATACAAAGAACGCTGTGCATTACCCACAGGAATTCCTTAACTCCCTTAATCCTTCAGGACTTCCCCTTCATATTCTAAAAATTAAAGTCGTTATTCCAATAACTTTATCGTTAAAACTGAATCTGCCTAATCTGTGCAAAGGAACTAGACTCCAAGTAAAATTGCTACGTAATAATGTGATTGAGAGTATCGTTCTTACAGGACCAGCGGCAGGTCAGCTAGCTCATATTCCCCGCATTACCATGATTCCTATAGATTTAGCTTTCCAATTTAAGTGATTACAGTTTTCATTAAAAAAATTTTTTTTTCACCTTCAACATCAACAAATCTGAAGCCCAAACATACAAATATATTGGACTTGACTTAAGATTGTTTTACTCACGGACAATCATATATATTATATATATATATATATATATATATATATATATATATATATATATATATATATATATATATATATATATATATATATATATATATATATATATATTGGTCTCTCTAGGTCATGAAATGTGGAGAATCAATTTATGTTAAAGCTGCAGAAAAATGGAACAAAAATGTGTTATACGAAGTTTTAAAATAAGTTATATCTATTAAGCTAAACCTGAAATATACGTATATAGATAATTGTTCAACCCAGGCAAAGCCGGGGCAGGCTGCTAGTATTTTATACCAAAACATAAATAAACTTACAGCGTATATACATTCCACTACTGGGCACAGGCCTATTATTTCTGAAGCAGTAAAAACCAATAACAATTTTATTGGTTCCTGTGGGATTCAAACCAGGAGTGTGTATAACTCAAATTTATATAGAGCGCTTAGCCTTTGTGCTACTTAGGTTTCAGAAATAATACGCCTGTGCCCAGTAGTGGAATGTATATACGCTGTGAGTTTATTTATGTTATACTATACTTATACTTATCTTCACGCACAATCCCTGACGGGGTAGCCAGAGAGAACAGATCGCCAAGTGTCACGATCCTTACAAACCTCTTTCGCTTCTTTCAGATTCATTATCTTCTTCATGCATGCACGTCTAGGTATCCGAGTACTTTTGACCCTACCCTCTTCGAGCAATTTGCTCACATGGTCTTCGAAAGTTAGTCTCGGTCTACCTCGACACCTTTTAATATTAACTTTCGCGCTATATATTTTCTTCACCATTCGGTCTTCACTCATTCGCTCAACGTGCCCAAACCACCGAAGCACGCCCTTATCAATTTTTGTGATAAGGTCATCTTTCAAACCTGCCATATTGCGAATCTCTTCGTTTCGCTTTCGGTCGGCCATGGTAACGCCGCACATTTTACGAAGAGATCGCATCTCCACTGCATTCAACTTACTTTTAAGCTTCTTCTGGCATACCCAGGTTTCGCTGCCATATAACAAAGTCGGTACCAACACTGCGTTATGTATTGCAAGGCGTGCACTCTTCGCTACGCCTTGCCTTTTGACTAACGCAGTCAGGGCACCATTGACTTTGTTCCCGGCAGCGACACGCCTGTCCACATCTAAATCACATCTTCCATCCCGGCTAAAAGCACTCCCCAAGTATACAATTTCATTTACCTGTTCTAGACATTCCTGATTTACCCATATTTCACACTTCGTTCTCTCTTCGTCCCTTTCAAATACCAGAACCTTAGTTTTATTAGCATTCAAACGGAGACCTTTAATTTCACATTCCTCTTTCATACACGTGACTAATGCCTGCAGTTCTGCCTCTGATGGTGCAATAAGCACTGCATCATCAGCATACAGCAGACAATTTACTTTAATGTCACCCAATTTCACACCCAAACAACTATCTTTCAGCTTCTGTAAACAGCTGTCGAGATACAGTATGAACAGCCAGGAAGACATGACACAACCCTGCTTTACGCCCGTTTGGACATTAAACATGGGTGACAGGTCATGCCCTACCCGCACACAGGCTTTACAGTCACAGTAAAGAGACTGCACAGCCCTTAGCAATCGACCATCCACACCATACCCTGGCAACAGTTCCCACATTTTCTTCCTTACAACCTTATCAAATGCTTTCTCAAGATCCACAAAAGCACAGAAAATCTTCTGGTTAGCAGCCAGAAGCTTCTCCGTGATCATGCGGAGAGAAAACATTTGATCCGTGCATCCTCTTCCAGGTCTAAATCCGCATTGTGTCTCCCATAGAAATCTTTCCGATTTCTCTTGCATTCTACGTGTCAAAACCTTCGAGTAAACTTTACTTGCTAAACTGGTCAAGCTGATCGCCCGATAGCACCCGCAGTCAAAATGTGAACCTTTACCTTTATATAAAGGCACAATGACTGCGGATCGCCAATCATCCGGGACATCCCCCGTCTGCCAGCACAAATTGCACAGCAGATGAAAGCTGTCCCAGACGCGAGGCCCACCATACTTGACCATTTCAGCAGTAACTCTGTCTAGTCCCGCAGCCTTACCACATTTCAAACTTCGAATCGCACGTTCAATCTCTTTCATCCTGATGACCTCAGTGTCATCGAGGTCCGGGTCTGGCGTACCAGTCACGGCGTCATCCCCGGATCCCTCACTAAGATCATCACACGCATACATTTCTCTATAAAATTCGCTCCATCGCTGCATGACGTCCGATTTTTCTGAGAGGACGTCATTAGTTCTCGAAATCACTTTGTTCATTCTTAAGGCCGTCGCACCACTTCGGGTCCTTCCAACCTCTTTCCAGAAGAGTTTGGAGTTCTCCTTGAAGTTGTGCGATAACCTTTCGTCCGCTTCCATTCTACACCTTTCACGCACTTCCTCAATCAGTGTTTTCGTGTGAACTTTCTGCAGCCTATATCTTTCTTTCATCTTCTCTCTCATATCCTTATCATTACTAGAGGCCAAGTAGTCTAACCATGCTTTCTTCTTCTTCTTTACAGCTTCTTTCACTTCATCATTCCACCATGCATCTCTTCTTTTACTACTGCCTCTTTTTATTGTTCCACACACTTCTTCCGCTGCACTTACCATTCCATCCCTAAGGTTCTGCCAAGTTCTTTCTACACATTCTTTTCTGCCATCGATGGTGTCAAGCTTTTCGGCTACCCTCGCATGATATTTGTCCCTAGTATCCGCTTCCTGAAGCTTCCAGCTTCGGATGCGACAGACCGACTGTGGTTCTGTTACTGCCGTCCGGTAGCGCCAACCCGCGAACAGACCCCTAAATCTAGTAATCACTAGATAGTGATCCGTTCCCAGGTCAGCACCCCTGAACACTCGCGTATCCATCACCTGTTTTCGCAGTCGGTCATCCACCAGGTACAAATCAATCATACTTCTCTCATTCTTTCGTTCTCTAGTATACATATGGATTTTCTTGTGATTAAACATAGTGTTTGTCACAAGAAGACCATTTTCCTTGCACACCGCCAGTATAAGCTTGCCAGCATCATTAACCCTTTTATCGCCAAACTTTCCAAGTACCGACTCGTACCCTGGTCGAGCGGTACCAACCCATCCATTCAAATCACCACATACAACAATTCTTTCGTTTCCCCTAGCCAAATCTAGAACTTCTCTTACATTCTCCCAAAACTCCTCCAGCTCAGCCCTGGACGACGAAGCTACCGGCGCATAAACAGCCAAAAGGAATAACTTCGTCAGTCCCAATTTAAAGCGAACCGAGAGAAGTCTTGAGTTCACAACCTTATATTCAGTCATAACATCAACCAACCGAGAAGACAGCAGTACCCCCACTCCCTGGCAGGCGTTCTCGCTCTCCGGGACTCCTGACCATAGAGCTAACGCCTCGCCAGGGAGCTCTTCAGTACCACTGCCCTTCCGTTTGGTCTCCGACATACACACGACATCTAATTCTCTTTCTTTCATTATTTCGATCAACTCATTCGTCTTATCTCTCATGCCTCCTCTAATATTCCACGTGCCAACTCTGCACTCTGTCCTCCACCTTCCGCCGTGTCGGGCTGTGCGTGACGGGTGGCGGTCCCCATCGCCGCTTTGCACGCTGCATTCCACACCAACGGGGACGAGCTATGTTATAGTAATAAGAAAACTTGTAAACTTATGTTTTTTGGGAAAATAAAAATACAAAATACCACAGTAAAATTTTACTATAAAGAAATATTAAGTAATATTCAATGCAATTGAGAAATACTGCAAATGTAGGAATTTCCAAGAGTTTACAAACTGTTTGTTAAGTATCCATACTTTTAATTTTTGTATACATCTTCATTTAAAACTTTAGAAAATTACGCTTTGTTCTTGTCCTTTAGCTTCTCCAATTGTTGTCTGAAAGAGAAAGGAAAACATTTGAAAATTACATTTCTTTTGCCTAGCAAGCTTTTTAGACAGTGGTAGAGCCACGCGGCAACTTTTGCTGTCGCACGGATGGGCCGGCTCGAACCGGGGTGGTACCACGACCTCACAGAAAACCAGCGTGAAGTAGAGGTTTACCTCTGCGTTTCGCTTGGTGAGTGCAGGTGGCCGGAGGCCCTTTTTACTGGAAAAGAGGCATTCTATCTTAGTCCTCACGGGTGACAACGCATCTACATTTTGATTTGTAATAGAGGATAGATGTAGATGTCTATGGGCCGCAGCAACCACTTACCATCAGGTGGACTGTGTGCTCGTTTGCCACCCTTATCCTATAAAAAAAAAAAAAAAAAAAAAAAAATAGCATCTTCAACAAATTCTGCTGTCTCTTCCCAGATTTAAAGTGTTTGTCCACAAGCAAAGCCAAGCACAAAATAACAACCTGGTTGCTCCATGCTTCTTATCAGGAAACGGAAAACTTACTTTCTCTTCATAGCTGTCCCTACATATATGAACACATATTTAAGTAAATTAGATATTTTTTTTTCTTTCATGCATTCAGTTGTGCTAACATTTTAGCATTATTTTAACTTAATTGAAGTTCTATGTATTAATCGGTGTAAACACTGTCAGTCAATGTTCTTGGTTCTTGCGATACAAGCAATACAAGAGCTTAGTGCAGAAACCAGTGTGTTGTTTAATTATGTAATGCCTTTTTGGTTAAACAAATATATTTTTTATTTCTACAATCACAGTATTACATAAGCAAACTCTCTTGGACTACCACTTAATCACCGAAAAACCTTAAGTAAAATCATAAATTTGAGGTGCATGTAAAAAGGGATGGAAATTTTGTCTCTAAAATTTATAAATAAGGCTTAAAAAGCTAAGTCCGGAATAAAGGCATGTATTTGACACACCTTAACATGTTTTACACATGTCGGTCTGAAAATTAAGATCCGTCATTGCTATGTATTCAGAACACAGTCTCCATCTGATGGTATGTGGATGCTGTGACTCATAGACATCTAGATCTACGATTGAGAATCAAAATACAGATGCAATGTACTCTGAGGACTAAGATGGAATGATACTTCATTTCCAATGAAAAGGATCTCCTGTCCTTTATACACTCCATATGAAACACATTACAATTAGCTACTGTTTTATGCTGGTATTCTTTTGTTTTACATGATTGAACTTGATTACAGTCTAAATGAGCTCACTTTTTTTGGTTTGAATGTTTTTGCTATTCATAAGTCCAAGAAAATATAAATACACTACAATTTCTTTATTTGTGGCCTCAAGGATATAAAAATTATATGTATATAATAGCAATATACACCTTAACCTAAAAGAAAAGTGAATATATCTATCTATTTGTAAATAATTCCAACTTCAAATAGAAGGTGGCTATCAATTCAGGCATAAGATAATCTTCAACCCCGTATCATCCCTTAGCTTGCGTAAAAGGCTACAGAGGGGAATGAAACTGGAGTTCGAATACACTGTTTTTTATAAGAGAAACTGAGCAAAATTGTGGCAAAGTAGTAGTCGTGGTCGGTACAACTTCACCCTATAGCCGAAACACACTCACTTTAATTGTTGATTGAAATCATCTTGAACAATGTCGTCCTCCCAATTGTCTTCCCAGACGGAGACATCTTCATCATCAGCGTCCTCCGTGCCCCAATCTGAGAAAATAATGTGTAATTAGCAACTTTATGAGCCTTTTATAGCTATAATAACCTAATAAAAACACTTACTCTCTGCTGGAAACTCTTCGAATTCATCGTCTTCTTCTAGAAGACCCAGATCGACCTTTTTTTTGTCTGCCATTGTAGATGTGTAATTACAGTCACACTTAATAGAAATTAGTAGTATATTATGTTCCTTAAAATCGACTTAAAATATTATCCTAAATACAATCGTTACTTGCTCACTTGCTCTTTATAACCACAGAACACATGTACCCTGACGGGTTTATAACAAAACTTTAAAAATTGACATTTGAGTTTGACATGTACGTATTTTTGAAATTGAAAACTAAAACTCATGCACCCTAGTGTTGCCATTTAAAGAATTCTATATATTACTAATTACTTTTTTTTGAGTTCATGGCCTGGTATCTAGACCTTTAGGCCAAGACTTAAGTATTTTTATTCGGTTTATTATAATTTCCCCATTGTATTTTTGATGAATTTATATAGAGGCACGTAATAGGATCTATTTTTTAACATATCACTCAGGTGGCGGGAGGGAGCTTGCACTGTCACTTGATTTTGCACTATGTCACTAATTTCACTGACAAGAATCAATCTGTCTAATGAAAAGCACTCATATGTAAATATGAAATGTTCGATATCACCAACAAAATTATTTCAGAAGGTGCAGTAGCTGCTCTCCACTATGCCCAACCGAGCCAGATGGGCCGGGACGGGGGAGTGACCAAAACGCAGTCTGTTTATAGTCGTAATAAAGTCCCGACTGGCCATTTTCAGTTTGTTATACCATGGTGCTACAGGTAGGTTTTCTTGAACAGTTCCATACCATTTACCCTTCTGTTCTTGATCTTGTTTCCAAAATTCGACCCATAAACTATTGACCTGGTTGTCAATAGATTGATAACAGTCGGTCAAAGGTACTTTTACTATGGAGCTAACATCGGCTTAGCTTTCCATTGACGTCCGAGTTGGGTGTTGATACGCATTTTTACAGAAAAGTTACACTATTATAAGCACACACACAAAGTTTCAACACGCGGAAACGCGTAATCTTTGAGAAAAGAATTATTGAAAATCAATTATTCTTGCAATGTTTATGTCTAATCCTACCGTAAAACTGGCGCCATTTTGTAATGTCAATGTCGACGTCAATAGAAATGTCGATTATTTCCGAAAAAGGTCGATTTTTAAATCGATTCAAATCGTAAGCTGATGTATCGGTTCACAAAAAATCGATTTCTAAAATATCTATATTTTTTTTATGTTTCTATTTATAATGTAAATATAAATCCATTTTATGAGAGAAAAATTCCCTTCGTCATAAAAAAATAAGGGGACTGATTCAGAAGGATTTCTGTATCTATTTTGAGACTGCTACGTCTCCGGCGCTGCGGGAAGAGCAACCTCTACGCCTTAGCGTAACAAATCGCAGGCATCCCTCCGCAGCTTCGGCTTGTTGGTCGCCTTCGGCGACCAGCCTTAGCCGCTCCGGCTCGTCCGATGCCTACAATTTGTTACGCTAAGGCGTAGAGGTTGCTCTTCCCGCAGCGCCGGAGACGTAGCAGTCTCAAAATAGATACAGAAATCCTTCTGAATCAGTCCCCTTATTTTTTTATGACGAAGGGAATTTTTCTCTCATAAAATGGATTTATATTTACATTATAAATGCAAACATAAAAAAATATAGATATTTTAGAAATCGATTTTTTGGGCATCGATACATCAGCTTACAATTCGAATCTATTTAAAAACTCGATCTTTTTCGGAAAGAATCGACATCCCTACTGACAATAATAATAAAAAATGGCGTCAGTTTCATAGTAGGTAGGAATTGATATAAATATTGCAAAAATATTTGATTTTCAATACTTTTCTCTCAAAAAGTACATGTTTCCGCATATTGGAACTTTGTGTGTGTGCTTATAAAAATGTAATCTTTCTGTAAAAATACGTATCAACACCAAACTCGACGGACGTCAATGGAAAGTCGTACCCTAACATCCAACATGTTGGTTCCATCACGTGCAATTTTATCTACTATCTCATTTCCTGTTATGCCACTATGTGATGGAATCCACATGAAAGAGACCTGTATACCCTTTTGTGCATAACTAAATAACTATTTTTTATTTCAAAATTAGTTTTTTTTAAAGTCAAATCTGAGATTGGTTAAACTTTGGACCATACTTAAACTGTCTGTTAAAATTACAAAATTATTAAAACTATTTATATGTGCAATCCTCTTCAGGGCCTCGAGGGCCGCATATACTACTCTGCAATGAAAAAAAAGTCAGAAAGAACTTGAACCAAAATGCCAGGATCTACATTATCAAAAGCACCTTCAACATCCAGAAATAACAAATACTGGACTTATTATTATTATTGGCATATTTCAGATCTGACAAGAGAGAGATGAAGCTGTCAGCACAACTTCGCCCTCTCAGGAAGTCACATTGAACATGTGGAATGAAGTTGTTCGCCTTTACATAACACTCAAGACGCATCTTTATCATGTTTTCATTAAGCTTTCCAACACAAGATGACAGAGATATGGGACGATATGAATTAGGATCTTCAGGTGGCTTGTCAACCTTAAGTAGAGGGATTACACACTGTGTTTTCCAAGATTCAGGATTTTTTTTAAGTGCCAAAGAGCATTAAGATTAGCTAATAGTTTCTTTTGAACGGACTGATTTAAGTTTTTGATCAAAATGTATGGACAATCGTCTAAACCAGGGGTTGTGTTTCGTTTGGATTGTAAACTTGTACAAAACTCACTCCAAGTAAAGGGTTCTATGAGGAAACTAGACTTCTGAAGACTATTATTAATTTGAAAATAACTTTCTAGATTATCAATAACCCTACATCCATTTTGAGATAATTTTTATAAGAGAGGGACAACAAATTCGTCTTTATATGTTCTATTATTGCATTTTATTTCGTTTAAATAACTTGATGTATTTCCAAATAATACTAACAGGTATAGTTCTGTTAAAAGTATTACAGATGTTCGCCCAACCATTGTGTTTATGTTCTGAAATAGTCTTTTTCTTAACAGCATTAAGTCTTTTGTAATTAATGTAATTATCAATGGTTGGATCTCTTCTGTACACTTTTAAAGCTTCGTAAGTTTTAATAACACTCTGTTCACATGTGTCACTCCGCCAAGGTGCTGGACGTTTGCAACGATAGTTATTTGCTTTGACAAACTTTGGCACAATATCCCTCCTAAGTGTATCAAGCCTTTCAATAAATTCGTCATATGACTATAATGGATTCTCATTATTAACTTCAAAATTAGAATAAGCAGTTATAGACAGCTGATTGTATTTAGTCCAGTCTGTCTTGTTGTATAAGAATGTTTCAATGGGAGGATTAATTTGGTATCTATCAACGGACAATAAAACACGAGTAAGCGTAGGAAAATGATAGCTTCCCATACAATCATCATGCACCCACCATTCGCATAGTGGAGTGATTGAAGCACTACAAAAGCTGACATCAATAGCCGATGGATTTCGGTTAGGATAATTAAGAGTAGTGAAGCTACCATTGTTGAAGACACATAGATCAAATTCATCAATTAAATCGTATAACTGATGACCCCGACTTTTCGTGGTCATACACCCAAATGCCACATGGTGAGCGTTGAAATCTCCAGCCACATAATATATTGACTTAGGCAAATCTCTAATTATATCACGCAGTTTACATATTCTGAAGTTACCATTCGAGGGAGGGCAGTATACACATAAAATCGTTAATTGTTTACCACTTACATATAACGATAATGCCACAGTCTGAATGTCTTGGTAAAATCTGGTTTGAATAATATTATATTTAAAATACGGTTTGATCAAAATTGCTCTCCACCGTGCTCATTTTGGGCATTATGATAGTGGGAATTATATCCTAAAATTTTAACATGCTGAGTATCTTTCAGCCAAGTTTCATTGAGTAGACGGATATCAACATTGTTAAATTAATTAAATTAAATTAAATAATTCTTTATTTCAGATATCAAAGATCCATAAGTTTGTGCTCAGCTAAAAATTTAGACAATAAGGGTTTTTTTCTATGTATACTTTGAATATTGTACTGAGCTATACATAACTGCTGTATGTTCTGTACTGTACTGTCCATTAATGTGACAGATTTTTAAAAGTAAGTTTAATAAACAGTGTAGTCACAGGTTCATTATCTGTTTTGTTACCCAATTCGACTAAAGTTTGGACCATTGCCATCAGAATATTCTTATTGTTTACAATTTGAACCTTAAGTTGAGTTTGGTTCAAGTTGGGTTCAAGCACTGTTTTATTTACATTATTTACAATTTTTACATTTTTATTTAAGTTATGTACATTTTGGCTTATTGATGGTAGGGTCTTAACAATGTTGCTCGACTATGTAGGTTAAGACGGAAAATCAGATGACGTAATTGTATTAGCCACAGAGGCATAAGTAATTTTACCCTTTTTTTCAAGTATTTTTTTCATTTTTATTGGGCAACATTTGGAAATGGCCAGGTGAGGGCTACTGCAATTGACACAATACAGGTTCGCTTTTTTATCGCAGTCTCTGAAATTATGCTCCCCAGCACATATCGAGCAACGTTGTTTACTATTACAAATTTTCGCAGGATGGTTGAACTTGAAGCACCGGAAGCATTGTTGCAAGGGTGGAACATATTCAAACACCCTGAACGAAAATAGGTCATATTGAATGTTGTCGGGCAGAAAATTTGATAAGAAAGTTATACTGACCGTCTCGAGACCTATAGTACTTTGGCCGACTTTTTTCGTGAATCTTCTCACTAAAATAATTTCATAGATCGAAGACAGTTTCGTATATAATTCCTTGTTTGAAATGTTGGAAGGCACATATCGGATGATTCCAGTTTTTTCTATCTGCGCTGCAGGAATATGCGCCTTCAAGTTGTGCTTTGTTAAAAAGTCTGTATTTGTGATGAAATTGTTTGCAGTGTTGTATTGTTTAAAAACAACCGCAATTTTGTTGGCATTGACTCTATGTAAAGCTACCACACCTTTCACTTCCGAAGTAAAAATATGATTTAAGTAAACTGGGCTTTTATTTCCAAGTTTAACCTGTTTGTCC